TGTTGAATAACAGCTATTCAGAATATGGTGGAAAGCGTCCTCGTTTGCCAATATTCCACTGCTGTGAGCCAAACATTTCATTGATTTTTGTCTAGGTTTCAAACGTTATATAAACAAATAACACTACATGTATATGCATAAATCAATCTCGATTATGTTTGATTTTGTTGAAACACAAGCTGTTTCATCATATTTCACCATCACATTAAGCGATAACTGATGGCGCTATTTTATCTTTATTCTAATAACAGAATTGTTTTAAATGCAAGTGAAATGATACAACGAAGATCAGAAATATAACACGCACCATCGGTATACTTTGTCGATTTATCAACTATACACAGTGACAGTAGTGACAAGCAGGATTGTTTTAATTTAAAACATTATGGACGAGGATTGGTGGATTTTAGTGTGCTAAACCAAATACTCTCACCTGGTTATAAAAAAGTCGCTTTCTTGCCAGATTTGAAGAAAATATTTAGTTTTCAGATGAATGATAAATTTTCTGCTAAAAGTTATAACATGACCGTGGACAATTCTCAAAGAATGTCTTCACACGGAAAAGCTATTTATGTCATCTACTTCATATATATATATAAAGCAATAATTAAAATATGTCAAAGAAAGCAGTTTAGTGTTAATTAATTATATAACTGATATTAGGTATATTGATTAATAGTTATTAATTTTCACCGTTTTTCTTCTGATATCCAACACAGTCAGGAAAAGCTCACAACTCAAAAATGTCACCTACATCTATAAATCATCTCAACGGACGTTTGAAAGTCTATTTTTTTTATTGAAACATTGTGGTGTTTCCTTTTAACTGATGTAAGCACATTATTTAAACTGAATACATGGATTTCGAATAAGAAAATCCCAATTTCAAACACAGTTGATATAATAATATTTAGTCCTACACACTATTCTTCGTCTAATACATATGTTGAAACATTCTACGCGTTTTGATTACCTAGAAAAAAGTATAAGTGATATTTTATATTATAAATAATAAACATTTCACAGAACTCTAAAGAATCAGTAAGTTTAAAACGAGAGTTATCGGTTGTATTTATATGATCGCCTAGGTAAACAGTCGGTAAAGTAAAGAAGAAAATATTTGTTATAGTCTAATAATGTATACCAAAAATTAATTGTACGTCTACATTTAAAGGTGGGGACAGAGTGCCAGGTTATCGCACTCGAGTGTGTCAGGAAATGCACATTACATCTGTGGATTTTGTGGAAACAGCTTTTATTTAAATGGAAAACATCATTATTTAATCGATTATGTATGCTTCTCATTACTCGTACTAGTAACGACTTCACCTGATGAATGCAACGTTATTATGAAATACAACTTTGCAATTACATGTTAATCCCAATGATACATTTCAAAGTAATTTATCTTTCATTTTACTAATAACTGAAATGTGGATTGTTACGATGAAATCTAAGATTACTGTGCTATATTTCAAACTATGCGGGTTAATAAGCGACATGTGTGTGATCAATGGTACACTGTAAAATATAACAACTCTCTGAAGAGTGTTGTCATTAAAATGAAGCTTCTGAACACATGGCCTAGTCTCTTAGGCTAGTGACAGATTTTTGTGGTGTCAGAATGTCAATAGTGGGTTATAGGTGACTTATTATTAGATAATCGGTCAACAACACCCCTAAATTGACCATCGTTATAAACTGAAGTCTTAAATTAACCGTTTTCGCCAACAAGCGAAGCCGTGGAAGTATGGTAAAGTGCCAGTAATGTACAGCCCAACCAGTAATTGTATCACCTTCTGTTCGTCTGAAAACATATAGCTCTGTGGAAGTGCTAAGGGAAAACGACGTGAAGGAACGAACCTAGTTTATGGTAAAAGATGTGTTGAATTAGCAGATAAAAAGAAGAAAATTGTTTGTAAATTATACCTTTCGGACGCGAAAATATCATTCCGTAAATAATAACAGGTTTACTCGAAAATCTATTTGTAAGGAGGAAGGTAACCCAAACCACGGTCATATCTCAAATAGGAACGGAGGGGAACACCGTTGTTCTGTCAATCTTCTATTTGTTCATATAGTTTACTTTTTTGCTTTGATCTGACGGTTTGGGTATAAATATCCATAAACTTCTTTCAACTTTTAATTAAATTATTCTGATACAAGAACAAGACCTAGTTATATATAACTTATCTTGGTAAAATCTGCTAAAATATTAAGATGTGAGGATTTTCCTATGCTTTACGCGGAATCAACTTCGTCGTAAATCAGGAAGATTTTTCGGTATTCGACATACTTGATTCATGGATTAAATCCGTTTTTCAATTTGTTTGGAATATTTAACTAATAACTTCTCCAAGTATAAATCAAAATTCTTAACGAAAATAACTAAAGACATTTATGACATGTCTGTCCTGCTTAAAACTCCATAGCAAGGAAAAAATGAAAAATAATAAATGGATAAAAGTGATGTATTTCTGCAAAATATAACGGCTGAGGGAGGTGAGACGGCTAAGATACTTGTGTAGTTCAGACACAAGACCCTGCTTAAGCAACAAGTGCAAATATGAGCAATTACATCGATATCACTGTCATGCAAGAGAACTTGAGGAAATATATAAATCAATGCAAAATGCAGAGGAAAATAAACAAGAACAAAGAAAAGAAAAGAATTTCCATCTCTGAACAGTTTTCAAAATTAATTCGCTGTCTTATATTTAAAGAATAGTTTTTCAGTGCATATTTGTGTGTATAAATAGCAGGTATGTTATTGACGCTATAATATATTTATTTTGTAATGCATATTTAATAATATCGAACGATATTTTTGAAAGTTATAGACTTTTTATTTGAAAACTATATTATTATCATTTTGTTTGATTTTATAAAGAAAACAACACTGAGCATTTAAATCTTTCTATATGCACTTATCATGTACATGTTTTATTTATAAATAAATGCATTTTTGCTAGTAACTGTTGTCTAATGGGAAAGATATTGAACTTGTTAAAATCACAAAAACATATTTAACAAACTGTCTTTCGAATACTAGATAAGGAACTACTGCACGTATGTTGGGGCACGACTCCTAGCACGTGGACTAACGAGGTCTTGACCGCGAACGTATTGGAGATAATTTGTCAGATTTACTGCCGAGGGGTAAAGATGTAACAAGGCTAAATTGACCATCCGATAGGTGTAAACTGACCGCTGTTCCTGATAGATTTAACACATCTTCACCACTTCCACAACACAAGTACACTAAAAATCAAAATCGCCAGTAGCTGTCGGAAAGTCTTTTAACTGTCCGGACATTCAGTGGTCAGTTCCTCTATATTGCCAGGCCATAAATCAACAGACCGATTAGGACCGAGATATATTTGTTAGTGAAAGTGTCTTTATTATGGTCAAGTGGTCAGCTAATAAATAGACTGCCCGTGGCGACATAACGTTGTAACGTACTACCTTTAATGTGTTGGACCTGTGGCCACCCTTTCATTTTGAGAGTTTCAACAAATCGTTAATACCCCTTTTGTCGGCAAAGGTGTTTTATGTACCAAAATATTGCGCAATTAATGGTTTACTGAATTTTTATTGCCAGGTTTACATTGTGATGAACTTTAGAAGTTTTATGATCTTCCAAATTAGTGGATCACACTGGCCAAAGATGAAAGCTAGAACATAGACTGATCTTTAGTCTATAAATCTTGTTCATCAAAAGAAAACAAAGGTACCACTCTAATGTAGTTTTATCTATAGATCATGTATTATTTTATTTCATATTTTTGAAAATTGCACAATACCGCTGAATTTACGTTCAGGAACATTTTTATTGATGCTTGCGGTGACTCTTTTATTGATTCAATTTTTTAATTTTTCAATAGATGCAACTAGGACTGAGAATTTGAGAACATTTTCGTTTAATGATACATGTACCTGTTAAATAGACATATTTTTGATAATGATGATTTATTTTAGAATGCATCAATAAACTACAACATTTCGCAGTAATCATTTTAATGTTAATTGATGGTATCTAATTGAATGAATATGACCAAATAAATTAGAAATAATTAAGGAATATGTCATATTAAATATATTACAGAACGATGATTCATAACGAGCGCTGAAATTAGTGTAAATAGAAGACTATTTACGATGGCGAGCTACACAAAACGATTTAAAATGAATTATATTTATTTTCGAAAATTATTTCATACATCATATTTAAATGCATCTTCTAAAACGACAAATTTAGCCATAATTTCCTCGCTGTATTGTTGTTCCTGCCTTATGTCGTTTTAACACGGTCTAACCAACACAATTTTCGTGTAGTCTGCAATAGCATGGAATTAATTACCTAATCAATCAATTAACTTTCTATCAACCTTATTAAGTGCTATTCTTTAGAATCAAATCTGAATCTTCTGTGAAACGTTTCGAGACAATTGATTCCATAAAATGGATGCAAAAATGCAATAATTTATCAACTTTATTAGACATTTGATATTGAATTATTTCGTATAAATGTGTTTGATAATGATTCTCTGATTTTAAATAACAATTTTATTGAATATGTAATATTTTGTGGTAAATTATGTATTAAACGTTGAAGGCTTTATCTGATATAAGATTAATACATTGTTTATATTGTAAACCAACGGATTATGTTGATAAACTGAAGCCTAAAAACTCATTCTGAGCTTTTTAACAATTGAATACGAAATCTAAATTGAACTTATTTTGATAATAAATTTAATTTATAACTAGTATTTATGTAAAAGGTTATATAATGTATATTCTGTTTATGTAATTACATATTTTATTTTGTTATAAAAAGTATTAATAAATATAATTTTATAAACCTATTGCATAAATAGAAAAGAGAAGTGATTTACTGTTTAGAGAAATACCAACAAATAATTGTTATATTAATTACCCACCAGTGTCATATACAATTAAAATAATCTTCAAATAATTTTACATATTAAAAAGCTTACCTGCTGCATCAGCTGTTTCTAATCCCTCAAATGTTTTATTTGCCATTTCCATCAAAGCATCGAGAGGGGATACTGTTTTCATGCTTGGGATTTGATCATCGTCGTCGACGTTGATTTCTTCTTCTTCAGCATCCGATGAAAGTTCTGAATCTCGACCCGGACTGGATCGGTTATCCCATGGTCGTACGATCCTCGAATTAATAGCATTATTAAAATGTAAATTTCTATGTTGCACATTATTATTATTATTATTGCTAGATCCTAGAATATCCTTGATTGCAAATGACGTGAATGGTTTGTTTGGATTTCTAGGAGGCTGAAGTTGCACCATTGCAAGTTTCCGTATCGGTTCGTATTGGTCTTTACAGCTATCGTCCGAATCACTGACCCCGCTGGATGTTGACATGATTTTCATTTGGTCTGCTTTTTAAGTAAACTTTTTCACAGGTGAAAGGAAAGTCAAAATCAAATCAAAATTTCTTCCTCGGAAAGTTATACATTTAGAGATAGTAAACAAACATCCATGTGCACACAATGTTGTAGTCGTCCACAGATATTATTTCTTGAAGAAATTCTGATAATTTTTCTTTCTAACTTTCCTCGGGGTAGTAAGTCGAGTATGTGCTGTATAGTATCCGAGGCCTGTCAATGTATCTAAGTACCCAGAAGTCTAACAACACCAGAGTCTTTCCAGCACACCACAACAAAAACAAAACCCCAAAACGAGGCCGGGCCACTTGATTGACTGACAGTTAAATAACTGTAAGGATATGTCGTCTGCGCGCTACTGAAAACACCCCTAAGGTACACAAGCGACGTGAGGCGCGAATATTTCGTCTGATTACTAACTGTCGTCTGCCGAGCGTACAGCGAATGACCTGAGGCAAAAACAATGATTTGCTTTCAAATAATGTTACGAGAATGTTTGTAGAAAAAATTGAATGAAAGATTCTCGTATATGATATACTTGAACAAACGTCCATGAGATTTCCTTGAACACTTTTTAGTAGCGAGAATTAAAAAATGTGTTCACCATCTTGGCTCGATTATGAAAAACATATGCAAACAAATTCGAGAAAAATTAAACAGAATCCTTTAAATATATGCAATCCTCATTATCAAGATGTTTCCGAAGACATGAGACTTGCGAGGATTGGGGTAAAGACGTTTTAACACATGATCATGGTCTTGTTAGGTGTTTGCCCCTCACAACAGTGGGAGGGGAATGTGATCCGTTGATCAGCCAATCTCAGCCAGACTTTTTCCATCAACAAACTGTCCCGTCATGCATCAGCCACAGTTCACTAATTACTCTACGTTGACTCTCCAGATGAGAGGTAATTAAATTAGCAAAATGTTTTGGACATCTAAACCAATCGCGGGTATCATTTTAAACGATTAAATTAATTATGCTTCGATACAAAGATGTTTGGTGATACACAGCTTCATGTAAACCCACACTAAGAGACCAGAATAGGTTCACCAGACAAAGACTTGTCAGCTTTCTCTAAAGGACATTTTAAAGTAAATAAATATTGAATATTTTCTACATTTTCTAATATCATTTAAAAATAAAAATAAACATTATAGATATAAATAACTGATTAATACAAACAATAATAATAATTGATTCTCATTTTAACTGACAAACATTGATCACATATTATTATTAATATCATGTTAAAAGATAACTGGGCTTTCATAACCACGCGGAACATGAATTAGCATCAGTCTATCAAGAAGCCGGCAGAGGCTCTTTTCTTGACACAGTTAACAAACCCTGCCTCGTCTGGTAAACGATGTTTGTATTGTGTTGGCCAACCCCTGTGTTCGCGCGCGTTAGCTGTGTAAGCCGAATCGTTTTGAGCTGATGAAGAGTCACTTATATTTTAATAATCCGATCGCGAGTGGTGTAGAATATCGCTGTGCCAACAGGAGAACAGAAAGCTTTCGTTTTTTTGGTGTCATTTTTTTGTTTTATGATTTATGAATTTACAAATTCGTTATATTTATGCTTGGGTTTGTCAGATGAATACCGTTTATTTGTTTACCAAACATGTGCTTTTACAGTTTTCATATTTGAAATTGTTTATATATGTTTAAGTCCGATACTAACACAGGCATACTTACATAATATGTTTAAATGTAGCAATTGAAAATACTGAAATTCTCAAAAATACTAAATATTACATATACATGTTTTTAAATAATATCAAAGAAGAATGTTTTCTATGAATAATGTTAAGCTTACATAGCAGTGACAATGATATATATATTTTTCCATTAAATACATTTACAAACGGGCAGCGTTATTATAAAGATCCATTTAAAAAATGCATATAGCAAAGTTTATAATACAATATGTTTCATACATGTATCATGTTCTGCTTGCGTTAGGGAAAAAGCCACAGACCGCGAGCTGTAAATAGTCAAGTGTATTTTGAGATGAATTTATCCCTCTGATAGAAGCGATAAACCTTCGGTGATATTTAAAATTAAACTGCATTTTTAAAAATATTTTCAACTCCTGCACGCAAAACGTAACTAGTCAGTCGAAATCTTTTAATGACATATACGATATTTTGTTGTTTATGTGTGTGTTTTTATATTTTTAAATTATAAACATTTTTTAAAGTGTTTTTTTATATAAAAGAAATCACCGAAACTTGATTAATCGAAATTAATGAACAATTATCACAAATATTACCAAATAGATTTGTTTGTAAATTAACAATATCTAACAACTTGTTCTTGGCGACTAATCTGATGGATCTTCTTTACTTCTCTTTTAGAAATTATAAATTATCTCTCGAATTAAATCCATGAAATAAACGTAAAAATGATAAAGGGATATGTTAAGTTAAAACAGAATACTGATTCTTCGTTCATCCCAGGTAAATAAATAATTAATTAGAATTCGAGTGGTTTTTTTTAAACAATCTTAAAAAATTATCTATTTTTAATCAATTTCATTCTCAATATGATAACTGTTCCATCATATTGTGTACTTAATATAATTTGTGCATGTTTGACTTTTATGCGTGGAAATTATGATAAAACAGAGTCAGACTTTTAAAAAGGGAGACGTCTCCAATTTAAAATTGAAATCATAATATATATAAAACGGTTCCTAATGTAAAAAAACAAATAAATATTTGTCAAAGCTCTTTAAAACTTTTAAAGGCATAGAAAAAAACACGGATGTGAAGGTCAAACTGATCCCAATTGACTGACATCCGACGTCTCGTTTATATGGACAATTCAGTTACCGGATATAAACACAGCATAACGATTAATTTAACTTAGTGTTGCAGGAATTATCTCTTAAATGTATATACAATTTAGGATATAAAAGTTCGGAAAGCACGCCCTACGGATATTTGGCATCCGGACTGACGACTCTCTCTACTGTACACAATATGTGAACTGTGTTTTAAAACGAAGAGATAATAAGTCAAAACATTAATAAAGTTAGATTTGAAATTTAAAATACCAAAGATATATTCTAAGTATAGGATCGAAGTAAAAGGCCATTATATACCCTCACACCAGGGACCAAACAAACTGATAGATAATTTAAAAAAATGAGTCCCTGGGCTGTTATTTTCAACATTCCAACCAGCGTTGATTAGAGGGCGCTTAAAAGTGGTATTTAGAAAGTGACAATATCCTCCGTTAAAGCCCTTAGATATAGTAACAAAAGAAAGAACGCTAACTTACTGTCATAAAAATCGACACTTTTTCTTATCTATTTTACTGAGACGATTAAAGAAGTCTATTCCTGTCTTGACCAGGTTTCGTCCATCCTAGATCGATATCAATGACCCCGCCTCTTCCGAGTTTATTTACTACGTTTTTGGAGCCTTGTGTACCTGTTTTAGTAAACGTGTACCATTAAGAATGATTTTTTGAAATAATTTTCAGCAAAATAAACATTTTGGAATAACAGTTCTATCAAATATACTACGCATAACAGTGAATTGTGATTTTGTTTTTAGAAACGTTTCATACACAAATACAACAAGGACTATGTTTTTTATAATTTTAAACTGTCCAATCTTTTTTGGTGTGCCTTTCCACACATCGACTTCAACACTGTATCATATCTAAAGACAGTGAAATTACTTTCACTGTACAACACACAAGAAAATGAAACTATAATAAAAGCTATACAAAACATAGCTGTAGATCTTATATATATATCAAAAGTAAACTCTTCTTTTATATAGATACATGTCAGGCACTACAAAAACTCATTGTACTCAAATAAGACCTCTGCTGGATGTAGAAAACTTTTTTGAAAATATATGAATAAATTAAATAAATAAAAGTCCCATTTCAAATCTGCCAACTGCATCTAATTACTTAGCACTGATGTTACCGTCAAATAAATACGTTCAAATTTATAGTCCAACATGAATTCTAGCTATACATGCTCCGAGACTGTATCTTTCATTTAAACCAGGGACAGATTGCAGACCAATTTTACTTATTTATGTGAAAAGTCTATTTTATAACCTTTATAAGATTAAATCAAATAATGTCTAATGTTCGCATATTCATTAGGCAACACATCAGATAACCTGATACTATATATCTAATGACTTTTACGCAATTCTTCTCGCAAAATTATACGTCAGTTCACACTCAAAGATACATCGAAGACACAGCCAATAAATCAGTCAAATGGGCATCGAGAGAGAGGATAGGAGCGCTAATGTGCAAACTAGACCATTTCAACGATTATAGCGATTTCTGTCTTCTTATTCTCGACGTAAAATGTAAATCATACAAAATACAGGAATTTGTTAAATGGGTGTTTGATGTATAATGTCCCATATATATATATATATTATCTATAATTTGAATGATTTAATGTTTTACTATATAATGCATATGCTAGCATATGAATGGTTATTGGCATCTAAGAAAATAGCAAGTATGTTCAATTCTACATCAAAATGTACATTTTTGCTCGTTTACATTAGTTTGATATGTTTTTAATCTATATTTTTAATTTCACATATATATCAGATACTCAATTTGATGAAAGAAGCTTAACGCCCTAACCTAATTATAGCACACAGGTATACCCGTACATGTATACAGTTTGCACCTTTACAACAAATCGAAACGCTAGCTATAGGTACAATTATCATCGTAATATGTGTATTCTACCAAACAAACAAACAACGAAACTTTCTAGAAAGTGTCAATATGCCACTTTCGTCCTATTTTGCTTGGCCTTCTGATTATCCTGTGGCAGTTTTGTTACGTTGAACTTGGATATCAAAAAAGTTTGTCTCGGGGTCTTTTCTGTCTCGTGACAGTTTTCCGACCCTCAGAGTTCCCATAATGCCCCTAATAGAAGAGTATTATGTAAATGTCGAAAATCTGGTTTATTCTAACTCTGATATCTCGAATACATAGTTTATCACGAGCTTCGATATAAGGAGGTTTGATTTGTAAACCCGTATACGTTGCCTAGCGTAGATTCACTCTGACCAAGTCTTTCTATTCCACATCGTTGTATAAGAAACTGGATCAAACGATTTTGATTATAATCTTATAGATTAAGTAGATTTCAGTTATCACCAAATCCTGTAAATGTATGCATACAATGTAGTTAGAGTAGTGTAAATTATTTACGTACGTACATGTACGCGTGATCTTAAATATGTTCCTAGTGTCGATAATGATCGGTGGCTGGTCTCCTGGTTTCTGTACATATGCTGATTAATTCTTATCTATATCGACTTCATTGGAGCATTTTTAGAAATAATCTGGGATGACACAGGATATCCAATTCGTTATGATAGGCAGTTGGTTTATTCGCGAGGGTTAATTCTCAAGTTTAAACTATGTACGGAGGAACAGAATACCCAACTCGTGATAATTGACAAAAGGTTTTTCTCTCGTAGGTTAAGTATCATGTATAATCTACGTTGCGAGTCAAAATATAACCTACTTGTGGTGGCTAAGATTTTCTTTTCGTGAAACTTTCTGAAGAGTAACTTTTGATGTGAGAAATAGGATATCAAACTTGTGATTATTGAAAATGTTAATTTTTCACGAGTTAGTTCTTGATCAACATCTGTAGGGAGAAACAGGATATGTTACTCTTGGTGATTAAACGATGTCCTTTTCTCGCG